AACAACTTAGTGCGATTATTTTAGACCGATATTGCGATGTGATCATTTTTGTAACATTAATAAAAAATCCACGAACTGTCCCAATCTTTTAACGTTCCATTTCATGTTGAGTACGTTTAAAGAGGCCCTACTCTACGAGCACCACACAAAGGAGAATAAGGCCCCTTTAAATCAACTGTTAAAGAAAACACACTACAGACAGTATTGACGACTGACTGACTGACTGACTGAGTGACTGACTGAGTGACTGACTGAGTGACTGAGTGACTGACTGAGTGAGTGACTGACTGACTGAGTGACTGAGTGACTGACTGAGTGACTGACTGACTGACTGAGTGACTGAGTGACTGACTGAGTGACTGACTGACTGACTGAGTGACTGAGTGACTGAGGGACTGAGTGACTGACTGAGTGACTGACTGAGTGACTGACTGAGTGACTGACTGAGTGACTGACTAACTGAGTGACTGAGTGACTGAGTGACTGAGTGAGTGACTGACTGACTGACTGACTGACTGACTGAGTGAGTGACTGAGTGACTGACTGAGTGACTGAGTGACTGACTGACTGAGTGAGTGAGTGAGTGAGTGACTGAGTGACTGACTGAGTGACTGAGTGACTGAGTGACTGACTGACTGACTGACTGAGTGACTGACTGAGTGACTGAGTGAGTGAGTGACTGACTGAGTGACTGAGTGAGTGAGTGACTGACTGACTGACTGAGTGACTGAGTGAGTGACTGACTGAGTGACTGACTGAGTGACTGAGTGACTGAGTGAGTGACTGAGTGACTGAGTGACTGACTGAGTGAGTGACTGAGTGACTGAGTGACTTAGTGACTGAGGGACTGACTGAGTGAGTGACTGAGTGACTGACTGAGTGACTGAGTGACTGAGTGAGTGACTGAGTGACTGACTGACTGACTGACTGAGTGACTGAGTGACTGAGTGACTGACTGACTGACTGAGTGAGTGACTGACTGACTGAGTGACTGACTGAGTGAGTGACTGAGTGACTGAGTGACTTAGTGACTGAGGGACTGACTGAGTGACTGACTGAGTGACTGAGTGACTGAGTGAGTGACTGAGTGACTGACTGACTGACTGACTGAGTGACTGAGTGACTGAGTGACTGACTGACTGACTGAGTGAGTGACTGAGTGACTGACTGACTGAGTGACTGACTGAGTGAGTGACTGAGTGACTGAGTGACTGACTGACTGAGTGACTGACTGAGTGAGTGACTGAGTGACTGAGTGACTTAGTGACTGACTGACTGACTGAGTGACTGACTGACTGAGTGACTGACTGAGTGACTGACTGACTGACTGACTGACTGAGTGACTGACTGACTGAGTGACTGACTTAGTGACTGACTGACTGACTGAGTGACTGAGTGACTGACTGACTGACTGAGTGACTGAGTGAGTGACTTAGTGACTGACTGAGTGACTGACTGAGTGACTTAGTGACTGACTGAGTGACTGACTGAGTGACTGACTGAGTGACTGAGTGACTGAGTGACTGACTGAGTGACTGACTGAGTGACTGACTGAGTGACTGAGTGACTGAGTGACTGAGTGACTGACTGAGTGACTGACTGACTGAGTGAGTGACTGAGTGACTGAGTGACTTAGTGACTGAGTGACTTAGTGACTTAGTGACTGAGTGACTGAGTGACTGACTGAGTGATGAGTGACTGACTGAGTGACTGAGTGACTGAGTGACTGAGTGACTGAGTGACTGAGTGACTGACTGACTGACTGAATGACTGAGTGACTGAGTGTGTGTGTGTGTGTGTGTGTGTGTGTGTGTGTGTGTGTGTGTGTGTGTGTACCTTCACGGTGGGATACACTCTGATGCTGTATCCGGCGCACAGCTTCCGGTTCTCCTCGGCAGCGCAGTCGACCGCCGCCAGCGCCACCGCCGGCTTCCACTCTGCATCACACACAGCACAGGAAATACTTCAATACATTTATTATGAATATAAACTCATCACAATGATGGGGTGTGTGGGGGGGGGGGGGGGGGTCTTGTGGGGTCTATGCACTTCAGTATATCAACACAACAGAGGCTGACCATCATGGTTTCCTAATATTCTGAGTGATTGATATATTATGGAAGGGGCTACTTAACAGATTACCATTGCTTGCTTCTCTTGGCCGGTGACTAATGACCTCTTGCTAATGTACCCAGCTGTTCTGGGTTTCATTCTCATCTGCATGAGAACTGTGAGAGGAGCTGTTTCTATTTATCAGAGCGTGATCTAATGACTGTGTTTGTATTATAAAAGCTCTCCATGGTCACAGCCTGCAGCCCAAAGAAATACCACAGAGCCGCGAGGAAGAGGAGGAGGAGGAGGAGGAAGAGGAGGATAATTATATTATTTAATTAAGAGGTGGGCAAAGTGTCTGAGGCCTCACACACTCATGGAGTACACACACATTCTTCAGTAAACAACATCTTATTGATATTATTTTCTCTTGTATTTATTTGCATTTGATGTTGAGGTAATGCAAAAGTAACAGAAAGTAATCAGATTACTTTTACATTGTGATACTCAGATTAGATGACATGTATACAGGTACCTAGTAATTGTAATGGAATACATTTATAAAGTAACTCTGACAACCCTGTTTATTAAACTGGCTCTCAGAGGTGTAAAGTAACTAAGTACTACTGTAGGTACAATTTTGAGGTACTTGTACTTCATTTGAGTATGTTAACATAATGCTACTGTGTACTTCTACTCCACTACAGCTCAGAGGTAAATGGTGTACTTTTCCTCCACTACATGTATGTAATACCTTTAGTTACTTCACAGATCTGGATGAATGATGTGAAATCTAATCAAGTGTTGAATCAGACTTTAGTTCCACCTGGAGTAAATCCACAAGCTACCCTGCAGTATACAAAGTCATTCAAACTAGCTGCACCTTTACCAGCTTTGAGAACACTTTCATGATCAATCATTATAAAACATATCATATATATTATTCTGAAATGAACCAATCTGCACAACGACTACTTTTACTGTCGTTACTTTCACTATATTTTGACGAGAATACTTTTCTACTTTTACTTGAGGAACATTTTGAATGCAGGACTTTTACTGTAACAGAGTATTCCTACACTCTGGTACTTCTACTTTTACTCAAGTACAAGATCTGAGTACTTTTACTTTTACTCAAGTACAAGATCTGAGTACTTCTACTTTTACTACAAGATCTGAGTACTTCTACTTTTACTCAAGATCTGAGTACTTCTACCTCAGTAAAGACAGTACTTCTACTTCAGTAAAGACAGTACTTCAGTAAAGACAGTACTTCAGTAAAGACAGTACTTCTACCTCAGTAAAGGGTAAAGACAGTACTTCTACTTCAGTAAAGACAGTACTTCAGTAAAGACAGTACTTCAGTAAAGACAGTACTTCTACCTCAGTAAAGGGTAAAGACAGTACTTCTACCTCAGTAAAGACAGTACTTCAGTAAAGACAGTACTTCAGTAAAGACAGTACTTCTACCTCAGTAAAGAGTAAAGACAGTACTTCTTCCTCAGTAAAGAGTAAAGACAGTACTTCTACCTCAGTAAAGAGTAAAGACAGTACTTCTACCTCAGTAAAGACAGTACAGGCAGTACTTCTACCTCAGTAAAGACAGTACAGGCAGCACTTCTACCTCAGTAAAGACAGTAAAGACAGTACTTCTACCTCAGTAAAGACAGTACAGGCAGTACTTGTACTTCAGTAAACACAGTACTTGTTCCTCCACTCTGCTGGCTCTAACTCTACGTGACTCCCAGCAGCTCCTCAGCTATGATGTCCCAAGATCTGAGTATTTGTACTTTTACCCAAGATCTGAGTACTTCTCAAGTACTTTAACTTCAGTACTGACAGTACTTCCTCCACCTCTCCGTGCCTCCCGCAGCTTCTCACCTCTGATGTCCCTCGCCAGGCTCCGGTACACCGGGGAGAAGGCGATGCAGTGGCCGCACCATGACGCGTAGAACTCGGTCAGCACGGCGGCGGTAGAGTTCACCAGAACCGGCTCCACGTTCTGCGGACTGAGCACGAAGATCTGGTCCGAGGGGGTGTAGAGTCCCGCGTGCACCGGGGAGCAGAGCACGAGCAGGCAGCAGCACCACCGGGAGATCTGGACCATCTCTCCGGGGAACCGGGACGTGGCACGGCCGCCAAGCCGCGCCATCTTCCCGTTAGAAGCTGCAGGAAACCGGGGGAGAAGTGTTCACCTCCTCCGTGTCACAGAACCACACACACGGTAACACACAACTTCTTTTGTTTTTTCTGAGTCTGTTTCCCTTTTCGGTGACCCAGCTGAATGGGTCCTCCCCCTTTAACAACACACACCTCCCTTATTAGAGCACACACACACACACACACACACACACACACACACACACACACACACACACACACACACACACACACACACACACACACACACACACACACACACACACACACACACACACACACACACACACACACACACACACACACACACACACACACACACACACACACACACACACACACACACACACACACACACACACACACAGGGGGGTCACTTGTTTCTTTACTTATAATAAAATAAAAACAAATAATAAATTAATGTTATTTACATGCAACATCCTAGCTATTTGTTATAGTAACTTTATTTTATATTATATGTGTATTCCTGTATTTCAATGCGCCTAGCTTTTAGCTTCTTAAAAATAAATCTTAACATTCATGTTGTTTTGTAAGAAAATAGCAATTACAGGTATTTCAATGTCTTGTTCACCTGATTATACCATGTTGTTCGTACAAGAAAAAATACATATGACAAATAATAATTGTACATAAAGCTATTAGTTTATTGTGAATATCTCAATGCCGGTAGGGTTAAATAATAATTATAATACATAGCTAATTGTCGTTTGATATGATCTGAATGTTGTGTGTACATGTTAATACAAAAAACCCCTCCAGACGAAAAGCAGAATGAAGTCAGCGTTCCTTTAGAAACAATGAAAGCTTTATTTACAAGTTCATTTAGTTACCAAATATATAATTTGCACATATTTGCAAAGTAAACAGTGTGTATCTTACAACAGGTTACAGTAACAGACAGAATATTTACACCCATCAAAGAATTGTACAAGTCTTCAAGTGCACTTCGCGCGCACTCGCAAAACATTATTATAAATATTAATTAACATTTCATAACAGACCGGTGTTCATTTGATAATCAAAGAATTTGTGCCTTTTTTTTTTATTAAACTCCATTAAAGGTTTTTTTCTGAATCTACAGCAGAAGTGTGATCTGATTGGTCCACACAAACAGGACCGAGTACTGCATAGATACACCGAGACCCCCCCCATTTACAATCAGTTCAACAGGACCATCCTACGGGGGGCTGGCATTAAAGCGTTTGAGGAACATACAGACGGAGAGGTCGCCGTCACATGGTTTTGGTCTTTTTCTACATTCTAGTCTGTTCACCAGCTCAGAGGGTCCAGAACATGTCGAGTACCCCGACGTTTTATGTTAGAAATGTATAGAAGGGGTCACAGCACATAGAAAGTGCCGGATGCTAACTAATTAGCATAGGTTGTGTTATTAAGCATTAGTTACAATTAAAGCCTATGTGGACAATAGTTTGAGCAAGTTATGTTCTGAGTTATGAGGATGTTTTGAAGTCCATTTCTGACATTTTCAGGATTAAAAAATGATAGTTTTAACCAGATTACGCCCATATGTGTACTCTGAGGAATGCATTTGATACATTCTGGGTCGATTTGAAGGATTTAGGGGACTCTGGATCATCTGGATGTGATAATGTTCATCTTGTGCTTTCTATATCCAACACCACTCATGGTAGTCAACTCACAGAAAGCACAAATATGGATACTTTCTAGTTAAAACTGTAATTTCTGATCCTGAAAATGTCAGAAATGGACTCGGCATCCTCAATAACCTCCAAAACAACTCCAAATCGGCCAAGCCATTTCTTAAATAATGTCTGCATTAATGCTAATTGTGCAAACTTCCCAACATGTGCAGGTTCGTCCGGCAGTTCCTATGTGCTGGAGACCCTACTCTACATTTATAACATAACACTTTGGGGTCTTCAACATCTCCAGGTTCACTAAGCTGGAAACTAGACTACGATATCATTTACAGTTTGAACAAACACTTCAGTAACTCTTAAAACATCGACGGTAGAAAAAGACAGTCAGGTTAAGGTCACTTAAGCAGCAGGACTCAAATAAGCCCTTGGACTCAAAGTGTGTGTGTGTGTGTGTGTGTCAACAATCTAGTTCCTGATAGTTAAAGTCAACACAATGACTCAACTGTGTCTATATGCACAGATGCCAGGGAGACGTGGCTCAGTGACAGTGAGTCAGCCATTTAGTTAGAAATAGGAAGTTTGATATAAGGCAGAAACTGAGGAGTTGGCAAAGCGGTGAGAATGGGAGAATACATTCAAAGGAAAACAGGTCCATAGTTTGTACTCCAAACGAGAGGCACTTGAACTGAAGGTAGACGTTCTGACGGCTGGTCGATGCATTAAACCATGTTCTCTGGGCAGATGTTCACCAGAGCGACTGATGAGGAAACAAAGAGGTTTTTTATCAGTAGGACGAGTAAAGATACAATCCAGCATTCCAGATCTGTCCTGTGATGCGATTCGAAAAAGATACGTCGGTGTTTGTGTCCCACTTTCATACTATATACCTCGTATTTAGTGCTTTACATACACAAAACGCAGAATACGTATATTACATTCCAATATATATCAGCTAAAGTATGTTATGTAATGTAATATACTTATTCTGAGTTTTCTGCATTTAAAAACACCAGCATGGAAACTGAAATGACTCGATATTTGGAAGTGCTTGCCCCGAAACACATTTGTAATTATAATAACGTCATAAAAAAGGCAAATAATTAAAGAGGCCCTATTTCTGCTCTGATTGGTTAGCTGGACCGGCTTTGTTGTGATTGGTCAACGTGCTTAGAGATGTCCCGCCCCTTAGCGCTAGCCAATAGGAGTGCGAGTGTTACGAAGGGATGTGTTCAGGAAACCCCCAACAGGGACAATAGGGCCTCTTAAACAACCTTTTCTTCATTTGGCTTCCTGTACGAGACGTTTTCTAGAACAGGTGGATGTGTAGGAGGAAAGTGGGACACGATTAGAGTCACACAGAACTATTGAAACAGCTTCGTCCCCTCTTTAATCAGGTCTTCTTTAAACGTCCTATTTCATATATTGCTGTGTTCACATTCACGTTTGTGCTTTTTTTACAATTTCATTAGATATTGTTGTCAAGATAATTTACAATTCAACCTGAATCCTCCAATCGAACCAATACATAACGTAACTATGGAGGAAAAGTGTTCCTCGTTGAATACCGTCTGTTTGAGATCTCCTGCAGCACATTGGATTTCAAATGTATAAAGTGAAAGTGCTGACAATCTTTTTTTTTTATAAATAGCCGAATCAGTTCAAGCCAAAATGAGGAGAAACACGTCCAATTAAGCATTTTCTAGTACCTCAAAACCAGTAAAAAGTCTCAAACAATCGAGAAGTAAAGACGGCTGTAACGTCCGAGTCTTATAGAGATCATATTTTAATTTAATTGACTCTTTAATAAAAAGATTCTGGATGTAAAAACCCTGTAATCACAGTTTCAACTCGTCAAGGAGTACACCGTATATTCTCTGCTACTCTATTACAATTTGTGAATCCATATATACAGTATTTATATATATTTATAGTTACTTACAGATTCAACACAACCTACTTTAGTTCCAGGTGGTTTTATATCACCCGCCCCTTTGGAACGGTCCGTTTAGCAGCATTGATGGACGTTACATACGGTGTACAAATGGTACAGTCCATCAAATGGTACAGTCCATCAAAAATGGTACAATCCATCAAATGGTACAGTCCATCAAAATGGTACAGTCCATCAAATGGTACAGTCCATCAAAATGGTACAGTCCATCAAATGGTACAGTCCATCAAATGGTACAGTCCATCAAATGGTACAGTCCATCAAATGGTACAGTCCATCAAAATGGTACAGTCCATCAGAAACATTTTCTTATTCTCCAGCCGGCGCTCGAAAAAAGGAGGCGAGACGAAGTGTGTGTTCAGGTTACAGAAGTGTGTGTGTTATAGATTATTAAAAAAAGTTAGCTGAAGGAAAATCCAGACGTTTATCTGAGAGGTAACGAGGGGTCGAAGGCATCCGAGGGTCGCTGTTGGCACGTCAGCTGGTGGAAGACGGGAAATGGCGGGAAACAGAAAGAGGTTGAAGTTCTTTAAATCAGTCAGGAAGAGGATGGCTGTTGTAGTTCTTAGTCTGTCAGGAGAGGGATGGGGTTGTAGTTCTTAGTCTGTCAGGAGAGGGATGGGGGTTGTAGTTCTTAGTCTGTCAGGAGAGGGATGGGGGTTGTAGTTCTTAGTCTGTCAGGAGAGGGTTGTAGTTCTTAGTCTGTCAGGAGAGGGATGGGGTTGTAGTTCTTAGTCTGTCAGGAGAGGGATGGGGGTTGTAGTTCTTAGTCTGTCAGGAGAGGGTTGTAGTTCTTAGTCTGTCAGGAGAGGGATGGGGTTGTAGTTCTTAGTCTGTCAGGAGAGGGTGGAGCTTGTAGTTCTTAGTCTGTCAGGAGAGGGATGGGAGTTGTAGTTCTTAGTCTGTCAGGAGAGGGATGGGAGTTGTAGTTCTTAGTCTGTCAGGAGAGGGGTGGGGGTTGTAGTTCTTAGTCTGTCAGGAGGAAGATGGAGCTTGTAGTTCTTAGTCTGTCAGGAGAGGGTGGAGCTTGTAGTTCTTAGTCTGTCAGGAGGAAGATGGAGCTTGTAGTTCTTAGTCTGTCAGGAGGAAGATGGAGCTTGTAGTTCTTAGTCTGTCAGGAGGAAGATGGAGCTTGTAGTTCTTAGTCTGTCAGGAGGAAGATGGAGCTTGTAGTTCTTAGTCTGTCAGGAGAGGGTGGAGCTTGTAGTTCTTAGTCTGTCAGGAGGAAGATGGAGCTTGTAGTTCTTAGTCTGTCAGGAGAGGGTGGAGCTTGTAGTTCTTAGTCTGTCAGGAGGAAGATGGAGCTTGGAGTTTCGGGTTGTTTTCTCTCTTGGCCCGCTTGTCGTAGATGAGCGTCAGTGTGTTGGCAGTGTCTTTCAGCAGAGCGTCGAAGATGCTGTCGGCAAGCTGCATCTTCACAAACAGCTCGTCTTCGTCGTAGTTCACCCACTGAGCCTCCTCCTCGTGGAGCTCCTGGACCTGGAGGACACACAGGATTTGATATATTTAATAAAGTAATAAAGACAGTCTATATACAAATCGATCTAAAATGCAGGAACAGAGCCACTTCTTCCTCAGAGGATAGAGAACAGAGCTCACAGTCACACTATAAAGTAGAGAGAATATCCAACTAGTCCCACCCTTAAATTCTCTTAGGCATCATCTAAAAATCCCCACCATTAAACCATAAAACCCTGCAGTCCTTTAATAATTTGCAAATCCACCTTTTGCCCTTCCTGAAATGTCAATCCTAAACAACAACAATCTCTTTTAAACAAATATTGGACTAAAACTACAATGTAACCGAGTAAAAGGCAATCACAGTATAAAACATAATCTATATATATATATGACTTAAATGATTATATGAACATTTGACACGACAAAGAGTTAGATTTTAGCAGCCAAATAGGGCTCATGATAAAGAAGTGGGAACCGATGATTGTGCAGTTTTTGACACATGGACACACTGAGCGGTGGCGAGCCGTCAGGGCCTGAGAAAGAAAGAAATCCTTCGAATCCGCCTGTTCAGTTTCTGTTTGAGTGTGAAGGGTTAAATGAAAGAAGCTCGTCTCTGCGAGGTGAAGCTAGGAGCTGATTGGTTGTCCTGCTGTAAATTCACAGAGGGCCCCGCTATAGCAACTGAACGAGAGAGTAATGTCAAATGACAGTACAATTGACCAATCATATCTTCCCTCTAAATGGGTGGGCTTTATTATCGCGGACTTTATGACAAGTTCCGCCCGCTGTGAAGTCTATGCAAGTGTTATAACAACAACGGGTCAAGCTAGGCGGAAGTAGCTAATTAGCATAAGTTCGTTCAAGTTACAATGATACACTGGAGTGGCAAAGGATGACCCGCCATCAAGTGCTTCATCCAAAAGGACAGGAGGATGGACTTTGTGTTTCAGTGATTTGATCATCAAAGGTAGGCCTAAGTCATTTTCAATGTGGGCCGCCGTGCCGACTTCATTCATTTGTAGTTGTTACTTGGCTGTGGGAGCCCTGTCATGATAGGTGTTTAGATACATGGTGTTGTTTTGTGTGGTAGATCAGGGGTTCCCAACCTTTTTGTGGAGGGGGGCGCACAAAAGCGGTAATTGAAGTTTAAAAGTCTCAAAAAAGCTACAACTACTGTCACAAACTGGATGAATGTGAAGTATTGTGTGAAAGGAGGATGAAAGCGTAATGAAGGAGCACTATTGGAGTGACTTTGATGGTTATTGGACTCGGGATTAATTCATTTGGATTCCCGCTGAATGAAGAAATTAAAGGACGGCGGAAGTGGAAACAATTCACAAAGGGATTAAACTGTTTAAAACACATGCTCAAAGTAAGCCGGATTTTGCCGATGTGTTTATGTGGATTCAAAAGTCGTAAATAATCTACAAAATGTAGGAGACCGATCTGATCGGAGCAACTGACAAATAATCCAACTGAAACCGGCATGGACAATGACTATGTTTTAAAAATACGCTTATCCAGAAAAGCCTGGTTTGGACACTTTACTGGCAGAAGAAACATTTCTATTAAAGAAACAATTATACATTTCTGTCTTTTTATGCCTTTAATAGCTACTAACTTGAATTTTTATTAAAATTAATTAATCAATTATTTTTTATATTTTATTGTAATGTAGAGGCTTTTAGTGACAATCATGTATTGCCTTACAATTATATGTTTTTATAAAAAATAAATAAAAAATAAAAAAAAAATTAAAGAAAGTCTAAATATGATATTTGGCCTCAAATCATCTGAGGCCTGGCGCCCCCCCTGCGATATTTTCGCCCCCCAGGTTGGGAACCACTGTGGTAGAGGGTCGTTGTCGGTTGTCATTGATGTGTTTTGCACCCCGGGCCGTTGTTTTGATATTTCGCTGAAGTATACGCTGTGACGTAATAACTATTTTTTTTTAGGGAAGGGGGGGGTCAGAGGGCCTAGGTATAAAAGTCGCGGCTCGCCACTGAGGTAAAGACTAGCTATCCGAGCTAAGGTATTGTAAAAGAAGATTTAATAAGGAATACATGACCATGATCTGGAGTGTGTTAAACACCTGCTGTACATCTGTTCTGCTGACGTAAAGATGTAACCCTTGATATGAAACACAACAGTTTAACGGTGAGACGTACCAGAATGTGATCGACTCGGTCTCGCTTCTTTTTGCCAAACTTGAGCATCTTCTGCCAGTCGGTCTTCAGGCTGTGATCTTTGCTCAGACCGTACACTTTCAGGACCTCTGCTGAGATGAACTCCTGGAATAAAAACACACAAAGTCATCAGGTGTGTGAAAGGTGTTACTGCATTTACATGTATATCAAGACTAACAAGACTTTATGACTGCAATCCAAGGTGAAGTATCTCTCGAGCAGCTTGGTAACACCTCCAGTTAGTTTGAAGATAACTTTAAGTAGTCAGGGTGTTTCTGTGTCTCTCCGTGTTGGTGTTGGGTGTCCCACCTGGATCTTGTTGAGGTCTCCTGAGCTTTTGACTCTGTGGAAGAAGGAGGATCTGACTCTCCGTGGTTTGACCCACTGAGGCTGATCGGAGCTCGGTTCCTCGTTGTAAATCTCCTGAAGCATCTCCCACGTCAGGTCGAACACCGCCTGGGGAGGACAGAGAGAAAAGGGTGATTAAATATGTAGTATAAACTTAGCAAATGGATTAGGCAAGGCAAGTTTATTTATATAGCATCTTTCAACACAAGGCAATTCAAAGTGCTTTACAACAATGAAAGACATGAAGAGCATTAAGAAATAGTACAACAGAAACATTTGTTTGTTCCAGATGTTTAGTTCAGGGGACAGAAAGCAGAGCAGAAGACCAGGGAGATCTGGATGGTTCATCATGTACAGGGTCTATGCAGGAATCCTGAAGTCAAATGTAAAACCTTTTAAGACCTTTTTTAAGACCCTTTCCAGACATTTTAAGACCTCATCGCAACTTCGAGTTCTAACCGGTTACATTGGCGACACACTTTACCTCACATTGACTATATTGATTGTAAGATAGCACAACTAAACAGAGTGCAGACAGACGACTGAAGCCTCCTCTCCATGAACTTCAACCTCTCTGTGAAGGTCAGGTTTAATGCAGTATGCTGCTTTGTTGCTTCTGTACTCTGTGCTCTTTCATTCCAGTCAAACCATTAGAAACCATTAGAAACCAGTATTTGACCAATAAACAAAACTATTGACAAAACTTTGAGCTATGAAATATATGAAACTTTGGTGAGCTTCAGCGGGGTAATGCCATATAGGAGCTCCCTCACAAATACCCAGGGGTTAAATTGGGCTGGGGCTGTCCGGGGCTAAGCCCGGCTGTTACAGCCGCTGCTACCTTGTGCCCTTAACTCTGGTTGTGTGTAGATGTAAATGAGCTGTGCAGTTCCTCTGCTATCATTGGCCGTCCCGACCTCTCAACATCCGCGGGGATTGGACAGACGTCACCCAATCCCTGCTCGCTTCTGCCACGTCATCCGGGGGAGGAGTATAAAGGCTGGGCACGGACACCATTCGGGAGGCTCTGTATTGTGTGACAGATGCCTCAACCCTCTCATTGTGACAAAGCCTTCGTTCTGTGATTCTGTTAGCAGTGTGTTTTGTGTGCTTCGCTCGACTGCTTAGCAGTGTGTTGTAGCATTTTGTGAGTATTGCTTAGACCCAGGTGATTAGCGCCTGTAGATCAGCATTCTTGTGTGTATTGCTTAGACCCAGGTGATTAGCGCCTGTAGATCAGCATTCTTGTGTGTATTGCTTAGACCCAGGTGATCAGCGCCTGTAGATCAGCATTCTTGTGTGTATTGCTTAGACCCAGGTGATTAGCGCCTGTAGATCAGCATTCTTGTGTGTATTGCTTAGACCCAGGTGATAGGCGCCTGTAGATCAGCATTCTTGTGGGTATTGCTTAGACCCAGGTGGTTAGCGCCTGTAGATCAGCATTCTTGTGGGTATTGCTTAGACCCAGGTGGTTAGCGCCTGTAGATCAGCATTCTTGTGTGTATTGCTTAGACCCAGGTGGTTAGCATCTGTAGACCCGCACCAGCTGTGTTCTTCCACAGTCCGTTTTGTTTATTGTTTTGTTTCCACTTTAGAAGTGAGATTTTCTTTCCTTTTGTATAGCGGGGCAACTCTCTTTTGGAGACCCCTTTTGTTGGATAGTGACAGCTTGACCCGTTGTTGGGCCAAGCTGTTTGTGTAGCCTACATCATTTTACTTACTTGCAGTAACAATTAAACCACCGGTAACGTATACCAATTCCAATCTGGTCGTGTCGTGTCCTTTTGGTCCTACTAGCCCAATTGGGAACGTAACACCGGCACATAGGACGATGCTCATCACCCTCACACATTTATCATATGTTTACAAAAAACGATATATATGTTAAGACTTTTCTCGTTCTTAATATAGACTATATTTAGGGTCGATATGTGTTGACCTTACTTTAAAATAGCAGATCTCTGTGACCGGATATAGTTTGGCTTAGACCCCGGCTCCACGAGGACGCATACAGTAAAACGCATACGCAAAAAAGTCTTCCGTTCACTTCACACGCATTCGATTCATTAACGTGTCCGTTCAGACTAGACCGCTGGAAATGCTGGAAACGCTGTAGTACATATGCCAGGCCTGTAAGTGGCGCTGCTGCCGCCACAAAATACACCAAAAGCAGCGAAGAAGACCCCGGAGCATGGTGGTCATCCCTTCTGTTTATTCTCCGCGGTGGACGGCGTGTTCTCCTGCTGTATATCTCTCAGGTATACAGCAGCTGTATATCTCCCCCCCCCCCCCCCCCCAACAGAGCGGAGCAAGGCAACGAAACTTGTAATAAGAAGCAGCATTTTATGGCACGCTATGCATGGGGCCACCTTGAGGGGGTTTCCCGACATGTTGTTTCAGTAAATTAAAGGGTGTTTCATGTTGTCGTTGCTGTGGACCTTCTTAATACCTTGGAAAATGCCGTTTAATACTTTTTAATACTTTTTAATAGCCTTAATTTTCGCTAAATTGATTTATCAACTTTTAATACTTTTTAAGACCCCGCGGACACCCTGATATAGCATCACTCCGATCCTTTCTGCCCTGCACTGGCTCCCTATCCATCTCAGAACCCAATTCAAGGTATTGGTTTTTACTAGGGACGCTCCGATCGATCGGTCACCGATCGAGATCGGCCGATACTCACTCTCCACCGATCGATCGGTGCTCTCTAAACATGCCGATCGCGAGAGCCGATCGCATGACGTAAAATACATGACACTTTTCTCTGTGTGCGGCAAAACAAGCTCGCCAAAGTGGCTTCACCGGTCTGGCATTATTTTAAGGTGTCCGAAAAAGACAGTAAAATAGTGGTATGCAACGAGTGTGTGAAGCAGAAATCCTGCAGCTCCGCCCGCCGGACCGGTGAGCGGAACACACACTGAGTGTTAGACCTAACTCACTTAGCTATTTGATCTACCTCTGGAACAAGCTAAACTAGTTATACATATATTTATGCTTCACTTTCGGGTCACTCATTACTGGATCAGTGAGCTGCATGAGATACAGACAGGCTGTCAGGAGAGGGAGAGAGAGGGGGAGAGAGAGGGGGAGAGAGAGGGGGAGAGAGAGGGGGAGAGAGCTTCCGCTCATTTCTCCCGTGTTATTCTCCAAAGTGAATGTAAACTTGAATAATGTACATCATTTGAATGTAATAATTAAGTTGATTGTTGTTCGTGGAAGCTCTAGTGAATGAGCCCCATTAACTGAGTTTAAACATCACTTTAAATGGAAGATTTAAAGTGATGTTTAAATCTTCCATTTAGGCCCCGCCCACTCGATCGGATCGGCGATCGGTATTGGCCGATACTGATTCCGGCCCCAAAATTGGCGATCGTAGCATCCCTAGTTTTTACATATAGAGCTGTCCATGGCCAAGCCCCTAGCCTCCATTAACGACCTTATCCACCCTCACAGGACGACCCGGGCCCTGAGGTCCTCTGAGCAAGGCCTCCTAAGGGACACTAATGGCGCGTTTCCACTGCAGCGGGTAGCTCGCTTTAAGCGTGCCGAGCGGGGCCCGTTTTTGGTTGCGTTTCAACTTGGCCTAGTTTTGGCACGGGGCTACTTTTTCACCTTTTTTCTGGCCCGACTAAATCGTGGTTCTAGGGCCAGGAACAACCAGGGCTGAGTCGGGCTGAGTATGCTAAACTAGAGAGAGAATCGCTGGCAGGGGGCTACAACTACAACAAGATGAACATATTTGACCGTGATTTAATTGTAATACACGTTTCAAAATGATGCCGAAGTAACAACATACTGATACCGGTTAGTAAAAACCATGAATTAATGCTTTGACAAGTCTGCAGACAGACAGCAGAGAAACACCTTTTTAAAATGCGTGCTTTCTAAATGGAGCTTGGCTAAGCTAACGTTATATATGCTCCGACCGTCCACACTCACAACAACGGCCTATACCGACATAAATAAACCAGCGACTGTATTCTCCATGACACAGGCAGTCTGTGGTTTGTACTTGTTTAACTTCTGTCTAGTTTCTGAACAGATATGAGGAGCTGTGAGCTCTGAGTGCTAACAGCTAACGGCTGTGTTGTTTTTCTGGGGCTCTCATTGAAGATGACAGTCACGGCTCCGCCTACACTGCGTTACTATAGTAACTGCCCCAGTTCCTAAACTGTAATGGAAGCGTGCAGTGGAAACGCGCCATAAGAGCCTCTGCCTCAATAGAGATTTTTAAGGGGCAGCTAAAGACTCACCTTTTCCGACAGGCCTTTGGGGCGTCAGAGGAGGCGAGTTAGTAGCTGTTTTTCATTGGTGTTTTATCCTATGTTTTACTTGCTGTGTTTTATGCTTTTTTCTACATTTTATGAATTGTGTATTGTGTACTGCAGGGCTATTCAATTGGCGGCCCACGGACCAAATCCGGCCCCGGGGTGATATTTACTGGCCCTTTGAGTATAATGTTAAAAAGTAATCATCAAATTATTATTATTTTTAAGATTTGTATTGAGTGCCTTTATTCCAGAGAGGGTGTTACATTGAGAGATAGAGGGGAAGACATTGCCTGAAAACTTGTGCGGGCTCGGGTTTCGAACCCACCTACTAGCTACTGTAGTGACAAACTGTCCTTTATTGCATCTCTGCGTGAACGGTTAGATAATTTCTCCTAAATTAAATCAAATGATATGATGTTGATGGTTAAATCAGCTTCACATGTCGGCCTACTGAGTTCTGAACTTGCCATTTAGATCTATAAAGGCCTTGGGGCTATGTTGTTTGATTGCATTAAACACAATATATGCGCTCCACTATGCTGTTGTAGTATTTACTGTATCTGAAGCTCTTAATATGATTGCTCATATTTCAAGCCATCTTTTTCCCGGCCCCTTGCTTTGGATCGTTTTCATCAACCGGCCCCATTCCAAACTAATTGAATAGCCCTGGTATACTGTAAAGCACTACATTCATGTTGTGAAGGGTGCTATATAAATAAAGTTTTACTTACTTACCAGAAATGTATTTTGGGCCTAAAGCATTCAATGCTTTATCAACCAGTATCTTTGACCTTTAAACCACTTTTCTAGGCTGTTTAAATTAAACTGAGCCTG